GAAGATAAGAAATAACTAAGATCAGAGCAGAATTGAAGGAGATAGAGATACAAAAAAACCTTTTAAAAAATCAATAAATCCAGGAGCTGGTTTTTTGAAAAGATCAACAAAATACACAGATCACTAGCTAGATTAATAAAAAAGGAGAGGGAGAAGAATCAAATAGATGCTATAAAAAACAATAAAGGGATATCACGACTGATGCCACAGAAATACAAACCACAATCGGACATTACTACAAATAACTCTATGCACATAAACCGGTAAACATAGAAGAAATGGATAAATTCCTGGATACTTGCACCCTCCAAACCCTAAACCAGGAGGAAGTTGAAACCTTGAATAGACCAATAACAAGGGCTGAAGTTGAGGCAGCAATTAATAGCCTACCAACCAAAAAAAGTGCAGGTCTACATGGGTTCACTGCTGAATTCTACCAGATGTACAAAGAGGAGCTGGTACCATCCCTTCTGAAACTATTCCAAACAACCTAAAAAGAAGGAATCCTTGTCAAATCATTTTATGAGACCAACATCATCCTGATACCAAAACCCAGCAGAGACTCAACAAAAAAAGAAAACTTCAGGCCAATATCCATGATGAACACAGATACAAAAATCTTCAATAAAATACTGGCAAACCGATTGCAACAGCACATCAAAAAGCTTATTGATCACGATCAAGTAGGCTTCATTCCAGGGATGCAAGCCTGGTTCAACACATGCTAGTCTATAAATGTAATCCATCACATAAACAGAACCAAAGACAAAAACCACATGATTATCTCAATAGATGCAGAGAAGGCCTTCGACAAAATTTAACAGCCCTGTATGCTAACAACTCTCTATAAACCATATCTCAAAACAATAAAATCTATTTACAACAAATCTACAGCCAATATCATCCTGAATGGGCAAAAACTAGAAGAATTCCCTTTGAAATCCAGCCCTAGACAAGGATGCCCTTTCTCACAACTCCTATTCAATATAGTATTGGAAGTTCTTGCCAGAGCAATTATAAAAGAATTTAAAAAAGGGGGTATTCAATTAGGAAAAGAGGAAGTCAAATTGTCTCTACTTGCAGATGACATGATTGTATATTTAGAAGACCCTATCATCTCAGCCCAAAATCTCCTTAAACTGATAAGCAACTTCAGCAAAGTCTCAAGATACAAAATCAATGCGCAGAAATCACAAGCATTGCTATACACCAATAACAGACTAACAGAAAGCCAAATCATGAGCAAACTCCCATTCACGATCGCTACAAAGAGAATAAAATACCTAGGAATACAACTAACAATGGATGTAAAGGACCTCCTCACAGAGAACTACAAACCACTGCTCAAAGAAATAAGAGAGGACACAAACAGATGGAAAAACATTCCATGCTCATGGTTAGGAAGAATCAATATCATGAAAATGGCCATATTGTCCAAAATAATTTATAGATTCAACACTATCCCCATCAAGCTACCAATGACCTTCTTCACAGAACTGGAAAAAACCACCTTAAACTTCATATGGAACCAAAAGAGAGCCCGCATAGCCAAGACAAACCTAAGCAAAAAGAACAAAGCCGTAGGCACCATGCTATGTGATTTCAAACTATACTACAAGGCTACAGTAATCAAAACAGCACAGTACTGATACCAAAACAGAGATATAGATCAATGGAACACAACAGAGGCCCTGGAGGCAAGACCACACATCTACAACCATCTGATCTTTGACAAACCTGACAAAAACAAGCCATGGGGAAATGATTCCCTGTATAATAAATGGTGTTGGAAAAACTGGCTAGCCATGTGCAGAAAGCAGAAACTGGACCCCTTCCTGACACCTTACACTAAAATTAACTCCAGATGGATTAAAGACTTAAACATAAGACCTAA